AAGATAGATAGTCTCAACAAGCAAACTGTGACGTCTAGTGGTGAGTACCTCAATCTGAACATGATCTGTCGCCTTTCAGTGGTTCTTTATCTGACAAGGGCGGGGTTTACACCAAGTGTTGCAGTCCGGAAGCGGTGAGGTTCGTCAACGTTAGTTTTCAATTGCACAAATGTATACCAACCAATGTTCGAAGTAGAACAAGCTACACACCAATACGACAACGCAACCGCAACGCTCCTGGACTGCAGTAATCCTAGATAAGCTCCGCCTTTATTCTCCACCTCCGTGAATGTACACGCACATCATTATCTTCACGCCAGAAACCACAGTTTTAAATAAGTAGTAACCAAAGCTAAATCCCACCTAAACAAACTATGAAGTTATCTTCTCGTCTTCCAGAATGGATCCAATGTATTCAACGGGTCATTGGGGTCTAACTGTGGCAATGGTACGTCTCCACCGCTTCGAATATGCTCATGGAGTAGGCGTTTCTCAAGCCTTGTTTTATCGCCAGGACCAAGTTCAAATTTCGAAGGATCCATTAATTCAGACAAAGGAAGAATTCTGGATGGCTGAAATCGTTCACAATAAAAAGGAATCCATCGACAACAAGTTAATGTATAAGTAATCAATATCATCACCGTTCACGTAAAACACAAAAGATGATAATTGTTACGTTTTGATTGAGTTGTTAATATCACATTATATAAAATTAACCTGAGAAGACACAACTGTTGTGGGAGTTGACGTTGGAGCTGCTGCTGGTGTTGATGTCGTTACCGAAGTCTGAATAACATGTTCTCTTATACAAGGAAAAAACCTGAGACTTCAGATGTAATGTACAAACCAGGTTCAAGACGAACTTACTGTACGATCTGATGGAACGGTAGTCGTCCCCTGATGTTGGATGGGCATTACTGCAGCTGCGGGACGAGGGGCTTGCATAGACGCCTAAAACAACTCCAGCTTCGCAACATCCACTCTGAAAATCCACTCAGGCAAGTGGAACAGCACATACCTGAATTTGGTTTGAAGCGCTATTAGCATCGTGAAATGGCGCTGGCTGAGATTGAACAGTGACAACATTAGGCGCAGGAGATGATGCTGTTGCTTGCTGTGCTGGTAAAGAAATCGGTGTTCCAGGTAATCGATGTATTGCCGAGAGCGTTACTGACTCTGTTGACATGCTTGACGAAGATGGAGCGGGTGCTCGAAGAAGACCTGAATGCTAACAGTTTCAAACATACATCAGTTATTTTAGAAAAAGATTGCACATGCTAATCCACACAAAAATTGCATTCTTTTGTAAATACATTTCCAGAATAAAGAACTCACCCTGACTTTCAGTTGAAGTCGGCTCTGGAATCATAGCTGGGGGTAGGTTAGTATTGTCAATGATTCCATCCAAAAGATCCTAAAAATCCAAGGTCTAACCTATTCCAAGCATTTGACTCTATAAGAAGAAAGTTACCACATTAGAGAAAGGTTTTTGACTCGGTTGAGGAGGCTGGACCTGCGTTTGCACCTACAATCAGCGGTATTAATAGTTTTTGTAAAACCATATAATTTCAAGCTTTTAGAAGGAAAGGTTTTTAGG